TCAGGGGCGGGGGGCATACAATCATACAAAATAAACATTGACTTTTTGACGCATTCTCCTAAATATTTCTTTTAAAATATTCTTTCTTGATGTCTTACTGGAGTTTTTACCTTCCCTGTTAAAACTGGATTCTATCTTCTTGCCTAAGGGATGGGGAAATGGAGACAGAACAATGGCAGATAAGACAATGGCCTAAAGTGGAGATTTTCATAATTGTTGCTATTGTTGCTTTAAGGAAATTAAACATAATTTGCCCTAAGTTTCATCTTTTACAAAAATATTCTCATGATAAGTACATTTCAATGTCCCAAATGAAGTAAAGAAAACTAATCAGTGTAACGAACGCTGCTGACTTCCACTATGTTTTCTCATAACATGTTGGCTTCCAATAAAGTGAAACTTAAGTCCTGAGATTGACTATTTTGCCCAAAAGTGGCACAGGAAGGGCAAGGCCGGAAAGGGGAAACTGAAATTCAAATACCCTAACCACCTATTCTGGACAAAATTAAACAGATAAATGGTTTTGCTTTTTTAGAAATAGTCTGCATTCTCACATTCCTGATTTGCTGTTTCAAGTATTCCTGATTTACTCTGGTAGTTCACATTCTCCCACGAGCAATCCCTGATAGCAGGAACTGCTGTTGTCAAGACGATGAGAAAGATACATGTTCATTGTAGCCCACTTGTTGTCAGACCAGCATTCCAAAACAGGATAAAAGCCACAATCATTTAAAAATACATCTTCCTGACATATTTTTTGTTGTCAATGAAGAAGGGTTAAACTTTATTCGTGCGTTGGTATGACTGACTAATTGAAAGCATCAGGTTTTCCTTAATTCTTTCCACAAGTATTTATTGAGTACCTACGGTGAGTGCCTGTGTGAGATGCTGGGATATAGTGATCAAGGGGTAGATCAATTCCCTGCCTAAAGAGAACTTTCCTACATAATAAGGGATACAAAGAGGGAAGCATTGTGCCCCATGAGAAAATGCAAGTAGGGCACTTAACCTAAATTTAGGATGCTGTGGAGAGCTCCTAGAAGTAACCTCCACACTTAGATGGGGGTTCTCAACTTTGGTACTATTATCATTTGGTGCCAGTTAATTCCTTGATGTTGGGGCTGTCCTGTACCTTGTAGGATGTTTAGCAACATACCTGGACTCTAACTGTCAGATGCCACAGTTTATTGACAACCAAAATATCTCCAGAAATTGCTGAATGTCCTCTGGGGACAAACTGATTCCCAGTTAAGATCACTGACTTAGGTGGAAGATGAGGGAAGTTGTGGGCAGGAGAGAATCACTGGTACCAAGATCCCTAAGGCAGCAAAGACCACAGCCCCACAGGGTTTGGGTGGCGGGTGCTAAGCTTGATATGAGAATGAAGAGATAACTAATGTCATAACCTAGGGACCCTTATAAGTCATTATTAGCCTGGAGTTTGTATTAAGTATCTATTGCTATGTGGGATGATTAACTTTATGTGTCAACTGGGCCATCTGGGTGCCCAGATATTTGGTCAAACATTATTCTGGGTATTTCTGTGGGAAAGTTTTGGATGAGTTTAACATTTAAACCTATAGACTGAGTAAAGCAGATTGCAGCTCCCTGGTGTGGGTGGGCCTTGTTTAATCAGTTGAAGGTCTAACTAGAACAAAAAGACTGATCCTTCCCAGAGTAAGAGGGAATTTCTCCCACTCAACTACTCCTGAGCTAGCACAAGGGTGTTCTCCTGCCTTTATACTTGAACAGAAGCATCTGCTCTTCCAGTGTCTCAAGCTTGCCGGCATTGGGTCGGGAACTACAGCATTGGCTCTCCTGGTTCTCAGACCTTCAGACTTCCACAGGCACAACACACAAGCTCTTCGGGTCTCCAGCTTGCCAGCTGCAGACTGTGACACTTGTCAGCCTCCACAATCACTTGAGCCAATTGCTTATAATTCACGTACAAATACATAGACACGTTCAGTTGGCTCTTCCTCTGGAGAATCCTAGTACGCTATGTCTAACAACAAATTATCTCAAAACTTCTCCATTTAAAACAAGCCTTTATTATCTCGACAGTTTTTAAGAGTCAGGAATCCTGGAGCAGTTTAGTTGGGTGGCTCAGGCTTAGCATCTCTCACAAGGTTTGAATCGAGCTGCCAGCCAGGCTGCCATCTCTGAAGGTTTGGGTTGCTCTGGAAGGGTCAATGTCCAAGCCGGCCCTTCGCAGGAGGCTGCAGCTCCTCCCTGCGTGGGCCTCTCCTAAGGGCTTCTCACAACACTGCTTCCTCCAGAGCAAGTGATCAAAGAGAAGACTCATATTTAAAAACAATCTGTACCCCTATAATATTTTGAAATTAAAAAGGGACTCCAAAATAATTATAAATAAATAAATCCGATGCAATCCGATACCATAACTCTGGCTTCTGCTTAGATCCAAAAGCAAAAGGCAACAGAAGTCATCAATTGTTTTAGATCGGAGAGTTGCCATCAATATACAATTTGGCATCGAAGCCCCTGGATAGTTAGAAAGTGACTCTAATTACAGAGGAACTTAGTTTTTGAATTGCTCATAGTAACATGAAAGTACTAAGTGCATAATTAAACCAGCAAGTAATTGAACTAACTCTGCTTCCGAATGCAATAGCGGCAAAACCTGAGGCCCAAAGAAGCTAAAAGGTGGAACTTCCAATAAAGCTCCACGGACTTGATACAGCTCATCATTCCTCTGCAACGGCTTTCCACGGGAGATGGCAGAGGCCATCATAGGGCCGTTCTTCATTTTCATGTGAAAGTGATCTGAGGAGTCTCGACTTCAAACTTCACTCTCGACTTGAAAATATTTTTTTTACCTCTTGGGATCTTGACCTTTTCTTATTTAAATTGGGAGTAATAACACTGACAGCTCTCATAGAGGTTCTAAAGGGAAATAAAAGAACCTACTACATCAGTGTGACCATACAAATGAAGTAAACATAGACATTTAAGATGAAAAATCCAGAATTGCCAACTGGCATAATGCTTAAGACAGTTTTAACTGTTTATCACACTAGATGTCCGTGTTTCCTTTCAGCTCTAGACGATTACTATACACTGCAATCTATACAGACTACCCAGCCATAAATCACAGAATCTTATAATGTGATAGTTCTCACACAATGGCCTCAAAATACTCATCTTGCCCACCCCTACCCCAAATACCCATCTTGTTCTTTGGATGCAGGAATCCAGCCTTCTGCTGGAAACTGGCTTTGGAGTCCATTGATGTAAAGACTGAAATGGTATCTTGAGGCACACAACCAACATCTGTGCAAATATTGAGCTTGGTCTGGGTTTCCCCAGTTTGCACCACAGTTGGGAAGTCCACTGTGGGCGGCAGTTGGCTGATGAGTAGAACCCAAACATCCTCACACCTTCATCCTTCTGAGTCCCTCTTCCCTATACCATCTGAGTAGGTACAATTAACCACTTAGGATAATCAAAAAGTACCTACATTCTCTTAGTTGTTGCTCATCACTTCTCCCTTTTTATTCCACGCATGATCAACCTCCTCTGCCTTCATTTCCCAAAGCAGGGCTAACACTATATAGTATGGAACAAACTTTCCTAAGGACATGAGGAATTATTACATTGAAAAGAAAAATTTCAAATTAGATATTTGATCTCACTGCTCCTTAAATCTGTCTGCCTATGTCCTTTCACATCAGGTTTTCTGCTGCCACTTCCCCCTTGTAGCTCACAGCCTATAGCCACAACAGCAGCCCACCAACCCATGGGGGTTCCCAACGACCCTACCCATGACCCTGTCTCTAGAGCCCTTACATTCTTTCTCTACAGGCTCTAACTAAGAGAAGCAAAACTACCAACCCCATCTCGCAGAAACACTGTCTGCCTACAAGAAAGATAGTCTTGCATTTTTATGCAGAGTAGTTTAGCTCTTGTTTGTCCCAAAACTCTCCCTTCTGTAATAGGATTGGTATAGAACCCTAAGGCTCATGGAGATTTCCTTCATAATTGAAATGCAGTCTTCCCGAAAGACAAATTCTGCCACTATATTTAGAACAGCAGGCTCAAATTTTAAATAACTTGGTTTTTGTATCCCCTATAAGTACAAACCAATGGGCCAGGACTAGGCAGCCCAAGGAAAGAAACAATTGCCCAGAGAAGCAGAGTGAGGCCCGGGCAAGCCAAGCCAAAGTGACTGATTATAAGCAGAGACCTGGACAAGCTGTATTGAAGCCAACTCAGGCAGTGGCAGGGAAGAAGAAAGGCAGGCAGTATCCCAGAAGCCAGGCAGAGGACCAGGAACCAGAGGTGTGCAAATATGGAAAGAGCAGTCCAGGAATAGACAAGGGCACAAGCTGAGAAGAAGTATAATTAACTCCCAATGCCATTCCCGGTTCCTAATCTCAAGCTACCAAGAACTTCTGGTCGGCACATTTGTCCCTAGACAATGGTGATGAGCAGAGTGACGTGGAAGGGGAAAATGGGCATGTACCTTGAATATTGCACATGCCACGTATTACTCTTAACTAATACACTATTTGGGGGCATTTGATTGTGTCTCATTTTTAATTATAATCAAGGCTATGAATTTTGTTTATACATGGGGGGTTTTTTCCTCAATCTTTCCATATATCCATGCTTATTTCTTAAAGATAAATTTTTAGAAGTGGAATTCTAGTTAAAAGAGTATGAAGATTTTTCTAATATTGACATAAGCCATCTAGGCACAAGGGGTGACCCTAGTTTTACCATAAATTTACTTTTTCTGAAGCCTGTGAGGAATCACGTGATCATCACTACTGAACTTCCTACCCTCATTTAATTCTTCATCTGCTGAGGAGTTAAACATTCCTCATAGAGGAAGTTGAAGTGCACTATGTTTGGAGGTGTTGAAATGATGGAAATTCTAGAGTTAGAACAAAAGGAAAGGAAAAGTGTTGGAGAGGAGGGAAGGGTATAAAGGCCGTCAGCCACCCAGCAAATGAATCACTCCTCCGGTTCACTCCTGAGCTAAACTTCCTCTTTAGAACAACATGATGCTCAAGGTATTGTGACATTTTATGTGGCTTACTTAAATTGCTTTTCTACCTTATTTCTTCCTTTCTCAATTTTCTTAGTTGCCCGCTCCTTTTAAGCATTACCTTCTTCTGCTTCAAAAAAAAAAAAATGGTATTTTAACTTTTCTCATAGCCTCTGGGCTACCTAATTAACTGTATGGTGGTTTTCATCAGTGTTTTGCAAATGAGAGACATGATTCTGTTGTATTAAATTAGGAAGAAAATGAATCATTGTACGTTCATTGACTTTTTTTCTTTTTCTTTTCTTCTTCTTTTTTTTATTTCAGCATATTATGGGGGTACAGATGTTTAGGTTACGTATGTTGCCCTTGCCCGCCACCGCCCCCAAGTCCAAGCTTCAAGCATGTTCATCCCCTGGATGGTGCGCATCGCACTCTTTCTGTATGCATATACCCGTCCCCTCCTCCCCCTCCCCCCTCCCCCGGCCGACATCCAATAAATGTTATTCTTATATGTGCACTTATGTGTTGATCAGTTTAACTTTTAACCTCCTCGTCTTATATGTGTCCATCATGACATTGCCAGATTGCACTTCTAATTATCTGTCCACTGCCACCCACCGTCCCTTGCAGAAGATAAACATTTTGAGGCAGAAGCCGTAACGTATTGATTTGACATTCTAGAGAGCTTAGCACGGTGTTGGACACATAGCAAGAACTTGTAAAATATATTTATTCAATGAGTGCGTATTATGCCGTAATTTATACATTAATCACTGTATTTAACTAAGAAGAGATTTAAATGCTGTGAGAAAGTCAAGTGGACCAGAAAGATATTTTAGAAATAGATGCATGCAAGGTTCACAGACAGCTGAGCAGCTGTGTGTGTATTTCCCTCGTGTTCCCTTCCCTCAGGAACCAGGAAGAACCATGTGTTCTTTGGCACACAGGGTGATATTTAGGACTTACGGGGGGATCCTGTGGGGCCCCACCTTCCCAAGTCACCAGCAGCACCGTCCACCTCATGTGGATGGAGGGCACAACCCCCTCCTGGGCTGCTTGCTGGTGCCCTACCTCCCCTCTGCTCCCTGGGCATACAGTTTTCCCCATAAAGCACCCCCAGGTCAGACCTAAGCCTGAAGAGCTGAACAATCAGTCACTAAATGCCCTCAACTGGGGGACTCGTGGAGGTGGGAAGAGAGGTGAAAAAGAGGTAGTTTTGCTGAGAACCAGGGATCCAACCAGTACCTGAAACTTTAATTTTTACTTGATGGATCATCAAGCCAATTCTTTTCCTCTCCTTCCTCCCTCCCTCTGCCCCTAAGTATGTTTACCCAAGTTTCTAGCAGCACAAAAATCAACATTATTATTATTCTACGCCTAATCAGACATTTCGGCCGGCACCCTTTCCCTCTCCCAGCCATCTTCTCTCCAGCTTTCTCCCACTCCAAACTCCCCTCAGCTTTCTATCAAAGCTATCAGAGACATATAAAGTAGCCCATCCTTTTTAAAATCGCAGGCATTCCCTGACTTGATAAATCTGGAGACTCTAACAGTCAGACTAGTTAGTGGTCAGGTTGAAGGACTTTCAGCTGGGCACTGCTTCCATCTCTGCGACTCCGCCCTGGCACTGAGCTCAGTATCAGAATGCCTCAATCCCCTAATCCAATATCCCTCACCCTACAGCAAACATTTTAAAAGGAAATATCTGACACTCAGACAGACAGAGTAAGTTGTGCAATGATGTAATTACCAGAGCGGGAAAGGAAAACAACCCAACATTTACCAAGTGGTCCTAAGTGCCAGGCGTATGGTGACACCCAACTTAAGAGTGGATGTTTTTTAACTATACGTAATAGATGTGCTCTTGTGAAGACGTGTAGAAAACAAAATAATTGTCTATACATTGAAGAGTTTGATAGTTAAAGGAATTGCAAAGTACTCTACTGCTTATGAAATGCACATAATCCTGTAAATTTTTGTCACCTGGTTTGTGGGTAGAAGTAGAATGACTTTCTCCACTGGGATCACCACAGGCACTTCATATTCAACAAGGTCACACTGAGCCCATTATCACTGCCCAAAGGCTGCCCCTCTTCCTGTGTTCTCTCTCTTGGCAAATGGCATTGTCGTTTCCCCACCCAGACTCTGGGCTACTGCAGTAGTCTCTTAACTGCCTTTCTCCATCCCTCTCTAATCCGTTCTCTACACTACAGTCTATAGAGATTTTTCCAAAACATAAATCTGACCCTTTCTCTACCTTTCTTAAGATAGCACTTCGGCTTCCTGTTGGCGTCACAGTCTTTAGCATGACGTAACATTCATCATTCAGTCCTAGCTGCAAATCCATTCTCCCTCTCACCCCCGGCTCCTGCATGCAGCTCTGCAGCTGAGTGTGCCAAATTCCCTCCACCCTCTCACACCTCCAAGCTTTGGCCCACGCTGCTACCTCTACCTTTAACCTCTGTCCTCATCCCCTGTATCTTCGCCTGGCTGACTCCTCTAAGTTTTCATAACCAGAATCAGGTGTCAATGTCTCCAGGCAGTCCCCACCAACAAGAAAGAGCAGGCAGTGGTTCTCAAGTCACGTATGTAATTTTAGATTTCTTAGTAGCCATATTTTTAGAAGAAGAAACTGATGAGATTAATATTTTGTTTATATTATATTCCAATATATCAATACTATATTATCATATTATTGATATCATTGTGTTAAATATAGATTCAGCATATAATCAATATTTTTAAAGCTCTGAGATGCTTTATATTCTTTTTTCCTACAAGTCTTCAAAATTCGATCTTGATTTTACTCTTATGACACGTCTCATTTTGGACTAGCCACATTTCACGTGCTCAGTGGCCACACGTGGAGAGTAGCTACCATGTCAGACATGAGAGCACCAGAGCACTTGGGAACCACCTGGTGATCCTAATGAAAACAGAATGCTGTGCTCCAAAGATTCTGTTTCTAGGGAGAGTCTAACTCTGGTGTTCTAGAGTGGTGACCAGAAATGTTCACGTTCAGCAAGAATCCTAGGTAGCTTTCATATACATGTTTCTCAGACCACACTTTAGGAAATTTGGGCTTAATAGCCAGATGCACTGATTTTGGAGTTAGACCTAGAGGGGTCTGCGTCCAGAATCCACCAGTTAAGAGTTGTGAAAATTGTGGCTTCACTTTTCTAGGTCTCAGTTTCCTCACCTGCAAAAACACCTACCTAGACACTTGTGGGTATCAAATGAATAATGTATTTGAAACACTCAGCACACTATCTGGCACACATCTGAAAATGGCAGCTGTCTGAATGCACCACACCCTCAGAAACCCCCATTACATGGACGAGGTGTCCTTCCCATCACCCCCGACTTTCTGTGCTTCCCTCCACCATCGCCCGTCACGCGCTGCCGTCATCATTTGCTTGCTAACCTGTTCTCTGCCTGACGGGGGACAGAAACAGGCTGTTGTGCATTTCCACATCCCTGTGCCTCAGACATAGTGAGTGCTTAGTACACATCATTTTTTAGAAACTGAACTAAATTTGATCAACTGGGTTTCTTCTAGTGGAGCAAAACTCTGCACAAGAATTAAATACAAAGTGGAATATACGACTGTTCTAACTGTCTCTCCTTTAAAGTCTGTCACAGAAAGCTTCGCCAAAGTGATCCATGGCTTAAAAGTGGGACACCTGACTGATCAAGTCATTCAGAGGAGCAAGAGAATGATCCTGGATACCCTGGGCGTCGGGTTCCTGGGAACCAGCACGGAAGTGTTTCACAAAGCCAGCCAATATAGTAAAGTAAGAAGCTCAAAGTCTACATTAGAGATAAAACCAAGTGTGCGCACATGTGTTTTATTTACTCTATACTTAGTTTTATAGATAGTACTTGATGTGTATAGCATTGTTCTATGTAATTTAGGATTTTCTGTGTTTCAGTCTCTGAGTTTTACTATTCATCCATATCCTTTACTAAGTCATTATCTTAAAACCATACACTAGTAATATCCCACAGTTTATTATTATTATGACTAAAAGCACATTTTAACCTGAAATTCTTAGAAACAGTAGCACCTACCACAGACCATTTGTTCATGCAAAGACTTTAATATTCTTTGGAGAAAAGACTGGTCGAGTACTCTGAGCAGAGAGTGGCCATGTATGTGTAAGATGTAACATCTGTTCTCTGTAGGATGTACTACTATACACGGCTAGCCCACCTTCCCTGGTATTTACTCCAAGGAGTAAATAAGAGTAAATTCAGACATGCATCTCTGGAGCACTTCTGCATTACAATATGGCATCAAGCAACAGCATCTCCTCTCCCTTCCATGGGAAAAGTCACATATTCTTCTACAAGGAAGAGAGGACCCAATGACTAAGGCTATCTTGCACAAAGGGTTGATGTAAGAACTTTTCATCTGATGCCTCCAAAGATGAAGAATAACTCTTGAAGTGATGACTGGTATGTTGTATCCATACTCTATATCACTAATTGATATTCTTTCGTTCCAGATCTATAGTTCCAACATATCCAGCACTGTTTGGGGTCAGCCGGACTTCAGGCTCCCGCCTACATATGCTGCTTTTGTTAACGGTGTGGCTGTAAGGAGGTTTTCATGTTTTTTCAACTATTTGAATATGATAATAATTTTAGAGCCAAAAAATATCTCAGAAATCACCCAGGTTCCATATCTTACAGATTATATAACTGAAATCCAGAGAGATAAAGTGGTCTTCCCTCTCCCAGTGTACTAATTCAGTTCTCATATTTTTATGGTAAATTGATGCTTTTCAAACAAATTGTGTAGTAGAGGAAATAAGATGGAAGGGGAAGATTTAGATAAAAACACTCCCAAGGTATCCCAACTCTAAACCTTGAATGTATATAGCAAAAGAAAAAAAAAAAAAAAAAAAAACCAAAAAACCACAAAACCCAATATTCAGACACAATTTCTTCTCAGTTCTTTCTGTTGTGGGTGCCAGTTTCTATCCAGTAATGTGCCCTTCATTCATTCATTTATGCGTTCATTCAGTAGATATTTATTGAGAAAGGAACAATAGCCATATAGTATATATTTTCTGAACCAAAAATCAGCACCTCTTATCTGATAGATGATTTTCGTGCTTCCTGTGTGTGTCAGGGACAGTATTCTACAAGATGTAATTTGGAAATGAACATGTTTGGATTTTTGAGATATTTTTATGGTTTATGAGGACAGTAGTTCAGAATATTGAAAGTCAAACCCAATGGTGCATTCAGAAGTTAATATCCAACAAGCAGTGGGAAATGCACCAACCACATCAAATAGACATAAAAATCTATTTTTAAATGAACTTCTGGTTATTGCTAAACTATTTTCATACAGGGGAAAAGCAAATGGCTGGGATGAAGAAGAATAAAACCTTAAAGAAGAAAGTAATGATTCTAAAATATAGCTTAATAGTTAATCTGGGTTCGAGAGTTCTTATGCTATTCTTGCAACTTCTCTAAGTTTGAAATTACTTTAGAATAAAAAGGTAAAAAACTATATGGCCTCATATGGAATAAATGACATTGAACTTTTAGGGCATCTTGTTTAAAGGATGGGGAGGGAGGAAGCAGCCGCCACCTGATTCTGCAGCTTTGTTTGTAAAGGGGAATATAGATCTTTGCAAGGGCTGTGGCAGAGAGAGCTCAGGCCACCTGGGCAAGACCCAAGCTCTGTGGGGCTCACAAGCTGCTCTCTAAGGTCCTGCCTCCTCTGGGCAGAGGAACAGCAGGTCTCAGTGCCCAGCCACGTGATTAAAAACCACAGCCAGTTCTCCGGTTTTCTTTTCAGAGAATCAGATCAAAAAAATCTCCTATCAAACAAGATTATTGCTAAACTAAGTCCTTACTGGTCTTAAAGCAATTGCATTCAGGGAAAATTTGGTTTTTGTTGTTGTTTGTGTCTGTTTACACAGATTCACTCGATGGACTTTGACGACACGTGGCACCCTGCCACTCACCCTTCTGGGGCTGTCCTTCCTGTCCTCACAGCTTTATCAGAAGCCCTGCCTCAGAGTCCAAAGTTTTCTGGCCTTGATCTGCTGCTGGCTTTCAATGTTGGTATTGAAGTGCAAGGCCGATTAATGCATTTCTCCAAGGAAGCCAAAGACATACCAAAGAGGTATGGAGAGAATTTGTCCCACTGAGAGGTAGCCACATTCCTCTTCATCTGTCAGTCTTTTCCTTTGTAGAGCTTTCTGACATAGAGGCCAGCTCAGCTGAAGATATTAGCATTAGTGCTGGCAGATAAGTCAATTCACCAGTCACATACGAAACCCGATATCCAGATGCAAAAATGTGACTTCAGAAGTGCTAATGAAAATTTTCCTTTGGGTTTAGAGAGCCAATCAATCATAATCATGAAATAAATTGGGGCCTTTCATCCCAGGGTGACTCATGGCATTCTGGCACCCATGAGTACTCTGAGTATTCCTGATCCCAGCCTCAAAGCAGAATCTACTCCGATTTTTCCTAGGGTCCTTCAGACCAATGAGAACATTCAGAATATCCTAACCCTAAGTGTTCATCCTGTAGATAAAAAATGGCCAAATGTTGGCCATTTCATATGGTTTAATCTCATATTTATTTTGCCACTTAGCCTGCACAGAGAGGAGTAAATGGGAATACTAGGTAGTAAAGTTTCACAATGTCTACGAGGCCTTCAATTCTTACAGTTACTTACCTATCAACAATCAACAATTTTTGCCTTTCTGGCAAATGGTAACAGTACCATTTATAAAGAACTCACTATGTGTCAGACAATGTTGTAAACAAGTGAATTCATTCAAGGCTCCCAAAACACTAAGAAGTAGACATTATTATTATTATCACCATTTTATGTAAGAAAAAAAACAGGTATAGAGAAGTTAAATAACTTTCCCAAGATCACACAGCTAACAAGTGGTAGAGCTGAGATTTGAACCCAGGTAGTACAACTCCATTATGAATGCTCTTAACCACTACACTGTACTGCCTCTTGGTGGGTAAGGCTTGTAAATCTCTAACTCTGTTTCTTTGCTTTTCAGATTCCATCCCCCTTCAGTGGTAGGAACTTTGGGTAGTGCTGCTGCTGCATCCAAGCTTTTAGGACTTAGCTTGACAAAATGCCAAGAGGCCCTGGCTATTGCTGTTTCTTATGCTGGGGCACCCATGGCAAATGCGGCCACTGAGACCAAACCCCTTCATACTGGCAATGCTGCCAAGCACGGGATAGAAGCAGCTTTTTTGGCGATGCTGGGTCTCCAAGGAAACAAGCAGGTTTTGGACTTAGAGGCAGGATTTGGGGCCTTCTATGCCAACTATTCCCCAAAAGTTCTTCCAAACCTAGATTCCCACACTTGGCTGCTGGACCAGCAGGATGTGGCCATCAAGAGTTTTCCCGCACATCTGTCTACCCACTGGGTGACAGACGCAGCTGCATCTGTGAGAAAGCACCTCATAACAGAGAAAGCCCTGTTCCCCACCGAGCACATCAAGAGAGTTGTGCTCAGGATTCCAAACGTCCAGTACGTAAATAGACCCTTCCCCAACTCGGAGCACGAAGCCCGTCATTCCTTTCAGTATGTGGCCTGTGCCATGCTGCTGGATGGTGACATCACAGTCTCATCATTCCAAAAACACCAGATTAACAGGCCACAGGTGAGAGAGCTTCTCAGTAAGGTAGAGCTGGAGTACCCTCCAGACAACCTGCCAAGCTTCGACACACTGTACTGTGAAATAAGTGTCACCCTCAAGGATGGAGCCACGTTCACCCATCGCTCTGATACTTTCTATGGTCACTGGAGGAAACCACTGAGCCAGAAGGACCTAGAGGCAAAGTTCAGAGCCAATGCCTCCAGGACACTGTCCTGTGACACAGTGGAAAGTCTTATAAAGATAGTAGAAAAACTGGAAGACCTAGAAGACTGTTCTGTATTAACCACACTTCTCCAAGGATCCTCTCCACCAGAGGCAGCTTCGAAATTATTCAGATGTAATAATTCTATCACACAATCTTTCCTGGGGTTTACCAACTTCTAAACGACTTTGTGTTTGAGGAGATTTTGATAATTGCTGTGTAAAACAAGGGTCTGCTGCTTGTCTGCCCAGGAATAAAGAGTTCAGAAACAGAACTATATTTATTTGGAAGAAGTCCTGTCCCATAAATTTTGCAGGACAGTTCAAGTTACCTAAATCAAAATAATAAATATGTGAGAAACACAAAATATTTTCTAAGCATTCATAAGGGTGAAATTCAAGTCACCTGTGATTTGCTTATACAACTAATCTTTTCAGAGGAATTATTTTGAACTTCGTGAACCTCAAGGCTTTAGAAGATTATGAACCCATATGTCTGTTTTCTGACAGTGGAGAAGGGCTCTGGTCTTTTGTGCCACCAATGGATTTCTTAGACCATGGATTACTCCCGAGCCCTCCACAGTGCAAGGGGTGCGATTGGGGGATTAGTGCGTTCAAATCCTGCCTCTGCCACTTATTAGACATGGCCCTGGGCATGTTACCAGGTGTCCCTCTGCCTTAGTCTGTAAAGCAGTTTTGTCTGTTCTGGACATTCCATATGAATGGAATCATATATGTAGTCATGTGTGTCTGGCTTCTTTCACTTAAATAATGATTTTGAGATTCTTCCTCGTATGTATTAGTTCTTTGTGCCTTTTCATTGCTGGGTAGCCTTCCATTGTATGGATATGCCAAAATTTGTTTACCCATTCACTAGTTAATAGGTGGTTGGATTGTTTCCAGTTTAGGCTATTATAAATAATGCTTCTGTGAACATTCACATACAGGTCTTTGTGTGGATGTATGTTTCCATTTCTCTTGGATAGATACCTACGAGTGGAAATGCTCAGTCATTTGTTAAATATATGTGTAACTTTATTTTAAAAAAAAGAACTGTTTTCCAAAGTAGCTCCATCATGTTACATTTCCGCCATCTATATATAAGGGCTCCAGTTTCTCCTCATCCTCACCAACCCTTAGAATTGTTTCTTTTATTTTAGCCATTCTACTGAGTATGGTATCTCATTGTGGTTTTTAATTTGCATTTCTTTCATGACTAATTCTTGCCAATTCTTGCCAGTTCTTTTCATTGGGCTGTCTTCTTCTGGTTGGGTTATAACAGTTCTTTATATATTCTGGGTTTAAGTCCTTTATCAGATATATGTTTTGTAAATATTTTCTCCCACTCTGATTTGTCTTTTCATTTTTTTTTCATTTTTTTATTGGTGTCTCTTGAAAAGCAAAAGTTTTAAATTTTGATCAAATTCATTTTAACATTTTTGAAAAATTTTATCGTTTCTTCTTTGGATGTCTTCAGGAGGCTTTTATTAAAAATCCAGTTATATACTTTATAAAAGACACATAAGGATACAGAAAGGTTGAAGGTAAAAAGATGGGGAAATATGGATGGAATATTAACAAAAGAAAGCTGGGATGAGTAAATGTTAATATTAGGCCAAGCAATACTAGAAATAAAGAGGGTCACTACATAATGACAAAAAGTTCAAATTACTAGGTAACTGAAATAATCCTAAATCTATATACGCCTAAATTATATTGACCTGCAAGAAGAAATAAATAAATCTACCACCATACTGAGATTTTTTAAAACATTTCTCTCCTAGTAATTGATATTTCAAGGAAGTCAAAAATAAACAGACTATCAATTATTTAAACACAATCAACATATGTTTATACAACAGGAATTCTGTGCTCAACTAGAGAATTTACAATCTTTCAAAATTTTCATAAAACATCTACAAAAATGTATACAACAGGAATTCTGTGCTCAACTAGAAAATTTACAATCTTTCAAAATTTTCATAAAACATCTACAAAAATGTATACAACAGGAATTCTGTGCTCAACTAGAGAATTTACAATCTTTCAAAATTTTCATAAAACATCTACAAAAATGTATACAACAGGAATTCTGTGCTCAACTAGAAAATTTACAATCTTTCAAAATTTTCATAAAACATCTACAAAAATGTACCACATTCTGAGCCAAAAACCAAATCCCAACAATTTTAAAAGTACTGGATCATACAGATCATTTTCTTCTCTAATCATAGTGCAATTTAGTTAAAAAAAAATCGATATTAAAAGGATAATTTTAAAAGCCCCAAATGTTTATAAAGTAAAGAAACATTCCTCTAAATAACTCTTAGATCACAGAAGAAATTATAATGAAAATTATAAAACATTGAGAATTAACCAATATCAAAATCACTACATATCAAACTTTGTAGGCTGTAGCTAAAGCAGTACTTACAGATGTGTAGAATTTTCTATTACTGGCTCTGCATTACTTGGATTATGCTGTTCCATAGAACACATCATGTAATGTTGATGAATTTGTCTGAACACAGCTGATTACAGAGGAGGTAGAAAAAGTGACTTCTACTGTGGTCTTGGGGTAAAATTTAATTATTGTCCTGTCTTGATTAATTTCCCAAGTTTCTGGGGGCATCTAAGGATTATTAATATTATTCTCAGATAGATAGCTCAGGCCAACAGCAGGGTTTGGGGAAGCCACTCGCCCAAGGGGGACAACAGCATTCAGGGTCACCTTGATAACAGTCATTATGCCCACTGAGTTAACTGAAGGCAGAACATGTTGGGGAATGTTGGTCTGCAGAGAGACCTTAAGACTCCTCTTCTCTGGCAGGCCCACATACCACCCATCCCCACTGCACCCTATACACAAAAATAGAGAGAGGGAGAGAGGGGAAAGAAATTGAGTCCCCACATTCCCTTCTACAAGGGTCAAAAGCTAGGGCATTTTCGAGCCAAAGCACTAGTGGAGAGCTTTTGTTGGAATGCTAAAGTTAAAGCCGAGTCCTCTTATGTCTTCCTTCCATGAGGCTGAAGAACAAGTACTGCTTCTGAGCTACCCATCCTGAGAAGGCTTGAGATGGGGGCTTAGACAACTCTGATCTGAAGTCTAGGCATTGTGGCAAATGCTTGTTTTTTCTCTTTCATGTCCTTGGGGAGGGCAACAAAGATCAGAGCAGAACTAAATGAAATAGAGAACAAAGAAACAAAACAAAGGATTGATAAAATCAAAAGTTGGTTCTTCCAAATGCTAAACAAAATTCATAAACCACTAGCTAGACTAACCAATAAAAGAAGAGAGAAGATCCAAATAAACAGAATCAGAAATGAAAAAGGAGACATTTAATCTGGCCATTTGTCTTCTTATGAAAAATGTCTATTCATGTCCTTAGCCCACTTTTCAATGGGGTTAATTATCGTTGTTGTTGTTTGAATTCCTTTTCAATTCCGGACATTAGTTCCCTGTTGAATATATAGTTTGCAAATATTTTCTCCCATTCTGCACATTGTTCACTCTGTTGGTTGTTTCTTTTGCTGTGCATCAATAACAATCTAGCTGAGAACTAAATCGAGAAGGTAACTCCATTTATAATAGCTGCAAAAAAAAAAAAAAAGAAAAGATGGGATAAGACCTAGGAATGTATTTAACCAAGGAGGTGAAAGATCTCTATAAGGAAAACTACAAAACAGTGATGAAAGAAATTGTAGATGACACAGACTAATGGAAAAATATCCCATGCTCACAGATCAGAATAATTAAACTGAACTGAATTATTAAACTACAAAGCTTATACACAGGGGACTGACAGGGGACCAATATCTAGAATTTACAAGGAATTCAAACAACTTAACAACAACAACAGCAATTAACCCCATTAAAAAGTAGGCTAAGGACATGAATAGACATTTTTTAAAAAGACAAATGGCCAAGAAGCATATGAAAAAATTTTCAACATCACTAATCAGAGAAATGCAAATTAAAACCACAATGAGACATCTTATACCAATCAGAATGGCTATTATTAAAAAGACAAAAAATAACAGGTGTTGGCAAGTATGCAGAGAAAAGGGAATTCATACACTGTTGGTGGGAATGTAAATTAGTGCAATCTCTATAGAAAACAATATGGAAATTTCTCAAAGAACTAAAAGTAGACCTTCTATTCAATCCAGCAATCCCACTACCCAAAGGAAAAGAAATCAAAATATAAAAATGATATCTGCAGTCATATGTTTATTGCAGCACTGATATGGAATTAACCTAAGTATCTATCAACAGAGGATTAGATAAAGACAATGTGGTATATAAATACAATGGAATACTGTTATTCAGCTATAAAAAGGAATGAAATCATGTCTTTTGCAGCAACATGGATGGAACTAGAGGCCATTATCTTAAGTGAAACAACTCAGACACAGAAAGACAAATACTGCATGTTCTCACTTATAAGCGGGAGCTAAATAATGTGTACTCGTGAAAGTAGAGTGTGAAATGATGGACAATGGAGACTCAGAGGGACGGGGGATGGAGGAGGGATGGATGACAGGAGGTTGCTTGGTGGGTACTATGTGCTTTGCTTCAGCAATGTATGAATTGAAGGCTCTCACTTCACCACAATGCAATATATCAATGTAGAAAAATTGCACTTGTATACCACGAATATATACAAATAAAAAATGGAAAAAAATCAAGTACCTCTCATCAAGTGATAGAGTATATAATTCATTTGGTAGGAGCTAAAAGATTTTTACTCCAGCAATTTCTTTTAAATATTATAGCTCAGCCACCATTTTTTAAGCATGCTGGAAAACATCCCTGCTATTTTTCCTATTCCATCAAAATACCATGCAGAGAGCGGGGTGCAGTGGCAAATCCATGTAGTCCCAGCCATTCGGGAGGCTGAGGCAGGAGGATCACTTAAAGGATTGCTTGAGCCCAAAAGTTTGAGGCAGTAGTGCACTGTGATCGCAAGTGTGAACAGTCATTGCATGCCAGCCTAGGCAACACAGTGAGACCCCATCTTTTAAAAAACAACCACGCAAAAAAATCACGTGCCATGAATGTGCACACTGGTGCCATCTTGTCGAAGCAATCCCGTAGGATTTACTGACATCCATGTTTACATCTAGGCCTCTGTATGGCAGTGACATGGCTCTGTCATCATCAGCAAACCTATCAGAAGAAAAGATCTAGCTGAGTGGGAAAAAACATTTCTGGGGCACCTGACAGCATGATTGTGCACAAATTACCAGCCCACACCGGCCTCTCAAACACTGCAAAATTCAGAACAAAAGCTCATAGGCACTGTGCACGTAAGAGATCTGTTCCAACATGAGACTTCACTTAAATATCCAGTTAGTAAGAGAAATGAAGGCTAAATGTACCAGGATCCATAGGAAATAATTAAAGCAAGCACAGTTTGATCCATATAGCTGAATGACATAATACCAGAGAATTGCTACATTGGAATTTTTTTTTCTTACAGAGTAAGCCAATATATTTTGAAAGAATACATCTTCCACATGATTGAAAGCCATCTGGTCTTATCATCTTAAACCCCAATCCCTTGTCATCCCCACCTCACCCTAATGCCAGTCACCAGATACCACAGACCCATCATGAAAGATAATCTGTTAAGCCATCAGAAAAGCAGTCACATTTATATTCATCTGGAGGAAGGAAAATAGGAAAGCATTGTAGAACCTGCTTATCCAACAGTAAGCTTTCCATCCTTTTCTTCCCTCATTATCCAGCTTATTACCCTGACCCACTGTGACTTCACAAGCAGCAAGGTTGCAGCTGCCAACCCA